CATAAGAAAGTAGGAATACTACTTGGAGTGGCACAGATGTTAATTGAAGAAAATCAGAAACAGCCAATATATCATATTTCATTCAGTGCAATTGATATGAGGGTCACAATTTAAGCAAAACCATAACCTAGTCTAAAAACAAAGGGGACAGAGTCATAAATGATAACAGATTCCATCAATGCCATCCCCGGCAGCTAATCAAAAAGGCACATGTGGATTCAATATGCAAATACCTGAAGGCTATGTGCCTCTCTTTCCATAATCTTCTCCACACAGAGAGTCACACAAAATAGAAATACAAAAATACCACATTTAATATCCTTAGGGTTCAAATAGTGATAAACCAAAAATCTTTTAACAGAATATAAACTTCCATCCTCAGAAACATTCTCAAGATAAATCCTGTATATGATTTGGAAACAGGAAGTTTGTTAGTTTTGGTCTATCACTATATCCTGATGTAGAATCAAACTTAAACAATACCCAAGACAAAGGTAAATGGCATGCACTACAGGCAACCTCTTTCATTCACACCCTGCTTAGCGTTAAAACAAAACACTGACTCTAGAAAGAGATGAGTGGTTTTTCAAAATGCCAGTGGCTCCCATTTTCCTCTAAAATAAAAATTTTCTTATCTTCTTTATGTGAAATAGAAAGTCACAAAATTAAATTTTTAAAAAACAATATTACCCAGATAGTGCACATCTTGGAAGTAACTACAGCAAAACAAAAGTAGTCACCTATAAAGAATTTTTTTTTTAAATGATCAAACTGAGCCGGTCTCGGTGGCTCAGCCTGTAATCCCACGCCTTTGGGAGGCTGAGGTGAGTGGATTGCCTGAGCCCACGGGTTCAAGACCTGCCTGGGCAGCGAGACCTCATCTCTACAATAAATCAAAAAATCAGCTGGGCGTGATAGCGTGTGCCTGTAATTCCGGCTACTTGGAAGGCTGAGGCGGAAGGATCGCCGGAGCCCAGCAGGTCGAGGCTGCGGTGGCTGGGAGCGGCCACTGCACTCCGGTCTGGGCGATAGAGTGAGACTCCAACTAAAAAAAAAAAAAATTAAATAAATAAATAAATAAATGATCAAACTGAAAGGACTTCATTTTTCCAAATTATCTTGGGCTATTATTAGAATTGCTATATTGACTTCCACACTTTTTTAAAAAATTTTCCGTCTGTAACTGAATAAGTGATTATGAGGCTACTAAAGGAGAAAGAAGATGTTTCCACATTAAAACAGTTAACAGAAGTAAAATAAGCACAGAAAATGGCCACTACGAGCAGTGACTGATGGTGGGTAAGAAAAATGTTGCTTTTACTGATTTTATTACCCATGTACCTCCTGAGGCCATGGGAGGCTTGAAAAATTTTTGTAGGCAGATAAAAGTCTAGCATTTATTTGTAAGGCAACTTTAAGTGTATTTCAAGGGTCTCTCCACCCCCCCTTATTTTTTGAGCACATAAAACTTAGTAAGTGAAAGTAATCTAAGGAATGTTAAAACAATCATTTGGTGAGAGGTCAAGACAATTTATTTTTCTGACACACACGTCTTCCAATCCCATCTTCCAGACCCCACAAACCCAGGAATGAAATTCTCTTTGTATGAAAGGAAGAATACAAGATTTCACTTTAACACTTTAGCCACATACTTTAAAAAGGTACATGTTAAGTGTGAATTCAAAAATTTACTAAGTGTCTACTACATGCTAGATTGTATGCTACAGACCAAGAATAATGTAACAAACACATGAAACAGAATCCTAGGGCCAAGAACTAAGACTATTTTAAAACGCTGATTTTTGTTCATACATATTTCTGAAGATTTTATATTTAGTGTTTTCTGACAAATCTTTATAACTACTGACAAAATTATAGTTTGTCAGTATTCAACCATATTATTTCATAAGTTATATTACCACTCTCAATAGGTATGTGTTACATAAGTTAAATGTGTTAACATTTTTAGCACACTAAGAACAGTGCCTGGCAGATATAAAAACTATTTATTAAACACTAAAAATATCTACTATATGCCAAGTACTTACTATTTTCTACGTACTTTATTTAAAAAAAAAGTAACTTTCATATTTCCTTTGCAGAATTGCAAAAGCCTTAGATATAATATGGACACGTGTATCATTTGCACGTGAGTGACAGGAGTCAAAACTGACCAAATTCAGCCATCTCAAACATTTTGTCTGGCCCAAATGAGATAAACTTTTTTAAAAATTATTAACCACTGTTAAAACACAGAAAAAATTTCAGATTTCTGTCTTCTTAGAAAAATATGAAACCTGCATTTCCTTAATGCAATAACAGAGCAGAAAGGAATAGTGAGTGGTAGGGAGTGACCTCCAGCTCACTATAGTCCCTTCTGCCTGGCCCTGGTAGACGTTTGAGTTTGGGAACCAGAATCTGCTTCAGATAAAAATTACAGAGTCCAAACCATCAACACTGTGAAATGAGAGGCTCAGTGTGATGGCTATGATAAAAACATTACTGACAAAATTATAAAAACAGAGATCCTTACCCTTCTGATCCTGGTAATTTCCACATTTAAAAAAACCACCATTTTGGCTTTTTAGTATTAGCTGGTTCTCTAATTTGCATCACAGTTAAACATTTGTGTGTGGTTTTTTGTTTATATGAAAGTTACCTTGTAATAGGGCAAGGAAGTTTATTTCATCTGGCAAACCATGGTAACTATGAGGCAGAGGTAGCAGGCAATATATGTAAGATGACTATTCTTCTAAGGTAGAAAAGGACCTTCTGAAGTCTTTTAATCTACTTATTTCACAAAGAGTTTACTTTAACTCACCCCAGGCATAGAAATCTATATATTTTACAGACAAAATATGGAATTTTCTGTAATTTCCATATGCGATCTAGGCCAATGATTACAAGCCTCACAATCATTAGATTCTAAATGAAAGTTTGGCTTCAATATGCTTACTTCAGCTTTAGTTGATACCTAAGCAGTCAGTGCCAAAAAATGTATATACATTGTAAAAGATGTTGAGAGATTTTTGCAGTAATCAGAAGTGTCTGGATGCTGATGGTAACTACTCTGAGCACCTCTTGTGACTTGTATTCATCTCACTGAATATTACAATTTTAATGGTTTTTTTTTTTTCTTTCCTAAAATGTGTATACATTTTTGGCACCCTTTTTATTTTATATGTGTTAAACCACCTTATGTGCAAGGACTACCAGAAGTTGATCTTAAGAAAGCAAAGCCCAAAAGATGAAGAATTAATTATACAGATATTTTCTTTCTTTCCTTTAACTAATTTGTACTGGGAGCCAAGCAAATACCAGGCACTCTAGCACACACTGAAGACTCCACAATTTCATATAATCCTCACAACAATTCTAGAAGAGAACAGACGCTGCTTCCACTTCCAGATGAAGAAACAGATCATGGAATTAGCCCAAGGTTACTCAGCCCTTGTGAGTTCAGATCCTTTTCCACAGTATTTTCTTTCTGCTGTGCAGTCATTTGACTTCACATCCGTTTGTTCTTCTTCACTGCTTTCTATGAGAAACTTCAGTGTTTCACACACTACTAAGACAAGGTTCTGAAAGTCACCAAACCTCTATCCTCATAAGATCACAATCTCCAAAAGGACAAGGACCATGAGTTATAACTATTCTATTTGTATTTTCAGTAAAACAATAAATTTTGTTGTTGATGATGACATCGTTTTAGACTAAAACAAGCACTCTCCCTAAATTTCCTCCAAAAAATAATTAAAATTGGTTTAAAATTAAGAGCTTTATTTAAAACCATATGTTGTTTTCAAGCATTGAACTTTAACTAGATTCCTTTTAAAGTTTCAGCATTTAATTGAAATCACAAAAGAACTTCATTAAGCTGTAATACTTCAGTTCTAAGTAAAAGGTCAGTCTTCACGCAGAGCAAAAGTACAGCAGTGATTACGCTGCATACCAAATGAACAAAAAAAGAGGCAGTTTTTAAAAATATGTGTTTCGGGTTCTATTTGCCTCAATTTTATTTAATTTCTTCCTAATTCAACTTAAAAATGGGAATTGAGGGGGGAAAAGTAGTTAAAACTAAGAAAACCTGAGCTTCTTCATAGCAAATATCCAAAACCATAATTCTTTGCTTGTGTCCAGAAGGAAAATGGGAGTCTGCTTAAAACATGAGCCAAGTTCATTCTTTACAGTTAAAGTCAAAGCAAGGATGCATTTATTCTTAGTAAAGGAAGATGGGAGGATGGGAAGACAGGCGACTCCTCAGGATGTTCCTGTCCCTTCAACATCTCTCCTTAATGCTTTAGCAGAAAACAGCTCAGTCTCCTCAAGTGTGCAAGGATCCTAAAATGCTTCTGTGACCTTCAAACGACATTGCACTAGAAACCACGAAGGGAATAAGAAGAACAAATATTAAGCACTGAGGCAAAGATCTTAATTGGCCTCAGGGCAAAAGTTAATAATAACCACTTTCTGTTTTGACTCTTCTATTCTTATACACTACAACAAGGAAAAGGTGAATATGATTCATTGCTTAAGAATGTGACTTCCTGGTGCACTAAAGAGAAGGGTTGTTTTCCAAAGTCAACTCAGGAAAGGTAATATTAACAAATGGGGGAGGACTTCCCCTGCCAAGTCAAGCATCTAGCTTTACTATCAGCTGAGTTATCTGTACAAACACACATTATAGGCAAAGTATAATTTGGGCAGAAATAATTAAAATCAATCAATAATAAAAATGTATATTCTTCACAAGTTCAAATGATTCTTCTACCGCGTGTGAAATCATGAAAATAAGAAACCTGAGAAATAAAACAACCAGTGACTGAAACGCTGCTTAGTAGAGAAAGGTCAAAAAGGGTACTTCCACTTACCAAAGATCAAAAGGGACTTATTTTAAATTCTGCTTGAAGAGGAACAAATTTGCTTTTTAAAATGGTGGCAAAGGACCAAGCAAGTAGATTACTCAGTAATCCAACGCTCAAGAGCCAACAATCACTTACTTTGTAAATGGTAGGTAATATCTGTTTCATTTTCAGCCTGTGAAAGACAAAGACATCATAAACTGCAGAAACTGCGAGAACAGTCACTCCTTGTTCCTTCCACAACATGCTGCATCCTGCGCACAGTCCCGTCCCCAGGAACCAGCCCCAAGTCGTGGCTGAGTAGCCTCTTGTGGAACAGTGTTTAATGTAGCAGAGCAAGGAGAGGAGAAAGAAGAGACTGGCCCCAACATCAGCTCGTCCCACGATTCCTGCCACTGCCTCTGTGTGAATGGGGTGAGAGGCGAACATCAAGCCAGCCATGACGGTCCAGTATCCATCACCAAGGAGGATCTTGGAGAAGCTCGTGAAGAGACCAGTGACTGCTGCATGCAACAGGACATTGACAAGATGGTAGCTCCAGGGATTCAACCCTCCAATGGCATGGTTCAGGCGAAAAGAGAGAGTGCAGAGTGGTCGGTAGGACTTGTGGCTGCCACTGTGGGTTAGAAGAGTCCCCCAAAAATCATTGTAGAAAATGTGCGTCCATGGAGTTTCTGGGAGTAGATCCTGATTAGTCTTGATAGCACGGCTAAAAAACAAAATGTTAAAAAGAAATCAAATGTACAGTACAAAAAAAAAAAAAAAAGAAAAGAAAGAAAAAAATATGACATTGCTAAGATATCCTCTTCCTAGGAAGTTTTTGTTATTACATGGCTTTGTGATGGAATTCACAGGCTGAATTCAAGTTCTCCCTTTAATGCTTACTAAAACCACGAAGAGGGCTGTCTTTCTTTTCCATAAAGGCTTTATTCCTGGTTGAAATGCAAATACTCTCCGAGAACAAAATTCTTCAATTGGTTTAAGCCACATTGTAGCAGTTGCCCTGAAAACCATGCAACATACTGGCTCAAAATGCATACTGCAGGACCCAGGTTGATGCAAGGTCTGAAAATCTGCATTTTAAGAAGCAAGGCCCAGGTGATACTGGTGCTGGAGATATGTTTAGAGAACTGGCCCCCTACTGGAAATAAATTTTACAAAGAATATCAGTGCCCAGAGTTTCTCATACACACACACCACTTGGGTCTTCTTAAAAGGCAGGTTCTGATTCAGCAGGCCTGGGGAGAAGTCAGAGACACCACATATCTAACAAGCTCCCACACGAGGCTGATATTGCTGGTCCTTGGACCACAGCTGAACAGCAAAGGCCTAGAGAGCTCAACAGCCTAGGAAGAATGGCTCTCCACCTACCCAATGTTTCCTGTCCTCCTTCATTCAAACAAACTTCAGCCTTTTCCACTTCTGAGCTCTCACAGGACATACTCTCATCTCTAGAAATCATTGTGGCATTTCATTGCCTCCTGCTTTTAAGAAGAACTGCAGTTTTCATGCCTGATATTTTCAAAGAGACTTCAAGAAAGAAGGACCTACTATGTATTAGCTTGCTCTACTACCAAACACTGTGCTGGTCTCCTTGGCTACATTTCATTTTATCCTTAGAACACCACTGATAAGGTAGATATTATCCACATCTCTCAGGTGAGAGAATTATGGTTGAGAAAAGCTGAATTAATAACTGGTACAAAACCACAAAGTTGAGAATTAGCAGTATAGAGATTCATGGTTCATAGTCACTCCACTACTCTGGATCCCCAAAATATCATCTACCTATCACCAGGGCATATTTTTTAAAATTCTGTAAAAAGTATAATGCTTATAGTCATTTTAATGTGTATTCAAAAGAAAACTATTCAATCAAGAAGGTATTTTACTGGTATCTGCTCAGAATAAAGGTATTAAAAGTTTAAAAATATAAAGACAAATATTAAAGGCCCAATAGTACTGGTCTATGTGGATAAGATACAGATGATGCAGGTGGCATGTAAGTGATTCAGTTTGGAATATCCCTGCCCTGTACCATTATAGTTCCCAGAGAGCAGGTTGGCATTTGGAGTCTGTTGTGTCCCAAGTGCACTCATCTATGTATTTACAGTACACACAAGAGAAACATAAATGAAGAGGAAGTAAGAATGAGAAGCACGAGAAGTTCCAGAACTGGAAAAGTCTTGCCTAGTCTGATATCAGAGCTATTTTTCTTTTTAATCAAGATCTCACTCTATCACCCAGGCTGGAGTGTAGTGGCACAACAATGGCTCACCGCAGCCTGGACCTCCCGGACTCAGGTGATCCTATCACCTCAACCTCCTGAGTAGCTAGGAATATAGGCACACACCACCCTGCCTGGCTACTTTTCAAAATTTTTTTGTAGACAAGATCTTGCTATGTTGGCCAGACTTGTCTCAAATTCCTGGGCTCAAGCAATCCTCCTGCCTAAGCCTGCCAAGGTGCCAGAGTTATAGGCGTAAGCCACCACGTCTGACTGATACCAGAGCTTTTTAAAGAGCTCTGGGCATCCATGTAGCTGAAGAATATGTGGTAGGAGGTTGCCCCAGCAGCATCCACCTCTAGCCCCTCCACCAGTCCTGCCTACTGTTTTGGGTCAAGTAGGATCTGAGGAACTTCCATATAAATATACCAAAAAGCAGGTTGGAAAAGCCCTAGATTGAGGGGGACATTCCTGAGTCACAGCTCTCTCATTTACTGCCTGACTCCAAAAACAAGAAACTGATGCAAAAAACGAGATGCAAACAGATTAAGAAACCCATCCAAGGTGTAAAAACAGCCAGTGGAAATAGCAGAGTTACTATTCTAGTCGGGATTAAATGACTGGGCATGGAAGTTTTCAACTGCTTCTTTAAATTGCTTCCCAATTAACCTCTCTGAGCTTCTGTTTCTGTAATAATAATTTTACCTGGAAATCATTTAACAAACACTTGCAATTGTTTATTTATCTTATATAAAGAGCAGAAAACACTACTATGCAGATACATGAGTATTCTGGACACCTTAGTACAAATAATATCTCTATCCTGTTGGCTGCTGTTATTATTATACAAGAACTGGGGTATGATCTACAAAATGTTCCTTATGAAAGATAGGTACATTTGGGGATTAGAATTAAATAGATTTATCAAGGGTTGATAATTACATGCTTTTTGCCAAATACCATACCAGTCCTTTTAGTCATATTATCAACTAGATGTTCTGTCAAAAGGCAAAAGTTCTGTTAAAATCAGATCTTAAATTATTTTCTGTATCAGGGATGGTTCATTGTCCCCCAATACCTGTTTTTTACTTTTTCCACACTAATAGAACTCCAGTTTTAAGCCGGGTATATGGTAATATAGAAAATAAATTTTATGACCTATCTTTCCTAGATGCTAAATATGGTCATGTGATTAATTTTTGTCTACTACTTCCAGAAAATGTCCATAAAGGAAAAAGTTTAACCTCCTCTCCTCTACCCTGACCATTCTCCTTCCTGCTGGCCGAGCACAGATGAAACAGTTGGCATTCCAGCAGCTATCTTGGCCCAGAGGAATAGAAATCTTGCTCAAACCAGAGCAGTAAGCTTGAAGGAAAAGGAATCCCTGTCACAGTAGACCATAGCAGTCCTGGGCTAACTGTCCTCATTTAAACTGTGATATTGGGAGTGCTAACTAGTGGCAGCTAAACCTAGTCATGAGCAAATTTCTTTGTTAACAGAAGACCTACTACAGTACAGTGGATTGATTTTCCATTTTGATTTTTGATTTTTTGCAAGTCTCTGTGTATTGACTGTGTATTAAATGAATTTCCATATAAATTGGCTTTTAATATATTAGAACCAGATGTTATTCAGGATCTATTAAATTAAAACACCCTGCTATGACATTCATTAAGAGTCTAACCCAGAAGTAATTGCTTAAGACTTGATGGGTTATAATTAAAATTTAAAAGAAATATGAAAAACTGCCAGTGTTGTCAGAGAGAGCTGATTTCAAGCAATTCAGAATAAAAACCCAACTGGCTTTGATTGTGTGTGTGTGTGTGTGTGTGTGTGTGTGTGTGTGTGTGTGTGTGTGTTTGTTTTGTTTTGTTTTGTTTTGAGTTGGAATCTCATTCTGTCGCCCAGACTGGAGTGCAGTGGCATGCTCCCAGTCACCGCAGCCTCGACCTGCTGGGCTCTGGTGATCCTTCCGTCTCAGCCTTCCAAATAGCCGGAACTACAGGCACACACTACCACACCCGGCTAATTTTTGATTTATTGTAGAGATGAAGTCTCACCAAGTTGCCTGGCTCAGGCAATCCACTCGCCTCGGCCTCCCAATGTGCTGGGATTACAGGTTGAGCCACCGAGCCCAGCCTAACTGGCTTTGACTAGATGTTAACCTAGATATTGATGTGACCTATCTCTAATACCATGCGGAAACCCTCATACCATCAAATTCAGGCCAGTGGACAGCTCAGTGGCAAAGCATTCTGGGACAAGGCTTTGTCAATGCAGTTATCCTGGGAAGTACATTTTGTTTTGGGCAATACCTTACTCTTTCAATGGCAGATTCACAAAGGATGGAAAATGAGATTTGCCTACAAGCTGTTAATTCAGTGCCATAACTAATTCCATAAAGGAATTTTAACAAAAATTCCATACTTAAAAAAATCAATTCAAACCTGTTGGAATTTCTTATCTTTATAGCAATAAATCTGATAACCTGCAGCAGCCACAAGGTATACTACAACTAACCCTCACAAAATGAGTGTTTCAAAACAATGAACAAAATTAACAAATGTCATCATTTCACTGTGAATACAGTCTTAAATTTACAGGGTAGAAAACAACTTAATTGGCAAAAAGTGTTACAAAAACAGAAAGAAGAGAGTGAAGGACCACCTCACCCATGTACAAAACATACTATATTAAAGGAGACTTTAGTATGATAAATTTTTCTGATGGGTGTTATCTGCTTAAGGAGGTTTTCATTTAACTGATGAATAATACAGCAAAAGAACATGGAAAAGGACTAAATTGTACTGGGCTTTAATATATAAGTCATGTCACACATGCAAGTCAGCGATAAGGGATGCGTTACACCACCTCAACATTGCATTAAGAAAGACACAGACCAAAAGGGCCTTAATAGAATCTGAGCAATCTGCCAGCAAATGAGAAAAAGGTAGTCATTCAAACCTAAACATAATAGATTTAGACCCATTTGCATTTTCTTCTATGAGTCCAAAATAGAAATAGTAAGATCTCTCTGTGATTTCACAGTTAATGAAACACCTTAACTCAAAATGTCATGCTGATATAATTTCTGAGGTTGCTTCTGTGAATTGGTGTTGAAAATTCAGAAAAACACTAAGGAATTAGGAAATTTTCCACTCTAAGAAAAGTGGAGAAAATCAGAGCTGTATATGTGAGAAAGAAACAATTGTAGTTAGAATTCTTGCGAGGACACAGGACTCAGAGAATGTCTTTTGCCTCCAAAAGACAGTCTCTGAAGTCTTCAAGGAGGTCTTAACCTGTTCCCAGTTTTGTTCATTTGTGGCTCTTTGTTTTTGCTGCCTTATGATTTTTCCCTTAGAAAACACTGACAAAGGGCAACACTTGTAAAACTGATGAATGATGTGACACTGCCACCTAAACTGTCCTTGTGTGTGTTTCTCTTACTGCCATTTTTTTTCCAATCTCTTCAGTCACAAGCA